TATATATATATATATATATATATATGTATATATATATGTATATATATATGTATATATATGTATATGTATATGTATATGTATATATTTATATATATATGTGTGTGTGTGTATGTATGTATGTGTGGATATTAAAACAATAGAGCAGAACAACTGCTGTTATAAGGAAAGCCTGGATCATCTTCATCTGCATAATATATCAGTAAACTGGGCCATAGCCTCTTAAGAAAAAATCCAAAGAGATTGATTTTTTTACATGCTTTTATTTTATTCCAAACAAAGTTATAAAAAAAAATACAAAACTCAAAAAGAAAAAAACACAAAACACATAACAATCAAAGCATTAAAAAAGTGCATCAAAAAGTCATTATATACTAGTTGAATACTGATTAATATATTACTGTGACATAGTACCACTCCTTGCGAAACAAGCCCTCCAAAAAATTTTAAACTTCTAAATCTATTTGTACTTTGTTGACCTGTTTTCTATATATTATATTGATGACCAAGTAGTTAACAGGAAAAACAATTTTAGTGAAACGAAAAAAAATTAAAGTTTCAAAACTCTCAGTTAAGAGGCTGTTATTGCAATCCACTAGTAGAAAATTTACTACAGTATCTTATCTATGCCAAATCATCGCAAAAGTTATAAAGAAATCATCCTGGGTCAAAGAGCCAAGTCCTTTTGTGTGTCTTCATCCACATCCAAAGATAAAACTTCAGATTTTAACATTTTTTAAAGAATCATTAAAGATTGATCAAGCTTTCAAGAGGGGAATCCAGCTAGGAGCTGCACATTTCCCCACCATCTTTTCTTAGGTTTCAGAGACTGTTCAGCCACTTTAATCTGCGAAATTTAGCCAGGGAACAAAGAACAAGAAAAGTATGTATGCCTCTATATTTTAATCCAGGATTATAAGAAGAGTCAAATGGAAATAAACTCCAAGTGTTTTAGAAATTCAAAAAATATAGAATCCAATAGTGAGAGTCTAAGAACTCCTCACCACCGAAAGTTACCATACTTTCCATGTGGAAGAGACAGAGGTTATCCAGAATAACAAAAGAAAAAGAGAGAGAAAGCAATTAGAGTTCAGCCTTAATCAACTTTTAAAACAATAAGCAAAATAAAACAATGAAATCAAAAATGAAAGTTAAAATTCTGGCATGTTTAGAAAATTGAACTGCTTGACAGGAAAATGGATATGCCCAATGACTTTTTGATCGCTTCCATAGGGAATTGGAATTTTCAAGACAGTCCCCACCCTGCCCACTGGGTCCACAATCAGTGCAAAAGTTCTTTTGGGTCATTCTTAAGTAATCCCATTCAAAACCAAAATGCAGCACTGCCAAATACCTAGCTTTAAAAGTGAAATCAGCATATCATTGGTAAGAGAAAAAAGAAATTCTTACCAAAAAGCAACCATCATGAAAGGGGAGCACAATATTGATTGTTTAAAATGAAAGTCTTTATTGTAACTATGATTCTAGTGAACAAGAAATATTGACAGTAAATGAATGTTACATTTCAGATTGGCATAAATCGAGCCTACAGCATTATAAAACACCAACCTAGAAGAACTGCTAGAGTATAAAAGTCACAGAGTGTTGTAAATTAGCTAAGGCTTGTGAGAAACAGTGACCCATCTAAAGTTTGTGAAATTGACCCAGTACTTTAAGAGAAAATAGCTTAATAAAGTGGGGGTCCCAGTTTTGCTCTGCTGATTAAATTTCATTCAGTCAAATAAAAATTTCATCTGCATGATTAGTAGCTTGAAAATAAAATGTTGATGCCAGACAAACACAGTAAAGTGCTTTCTGTGCTCCATGAAAATACCAGGTTTTGACAGATGGTTAAGCCCCTAAATCTAACCATCTGTCACAAGTCACTTCTTCTCCAAGCCCCTTCTGCTCCTCATGTTCAGGAGAGCAATTGGTGATAATTTTTCCTGCCAGCAGGTGACACTTGTTAGCGGGAGAAATGAAGCCAAGGAAATCCATCCATCACTATCCTTAAGTTGTCCTATGTTAAAACTGTAAAGACAGCATCATTTCTCAGCTTTGATACTAAAGCAGAAGAGGTCTTGGCAACAGTTTTTATGTTGGCATCCTTTTCTGCTGGCTTAAGGACCAGTGCATGGCCGTCTGGCTGTGTCATTTGATAGCATCTGTTGCTCCAATGCCTTCTGCACCCAGCTGCAGACAACAGCAGCTAATGGTAGGGCATATTAATATGAATAATGACACCAGCTATTTCTTTGTTCCCCTGAGGAAAAAGTGAGGTGATACACTGGGATATGTAGGCAAGTCTCTCCTTGCTGGAATTGTGGACCAGGGATAGAATTGCAATAATATGTTTATAAGCTTGTGTACATGATACCTCCCTAAACCACAAAGTTTGAATGGACCTTATATAGAATCTTAATGGAGTAAAAAAAAAAAAAAAAAAACCTTCACAATCCACTTCCATTAAGTCACTACTTCTCTGGAATAGATCTTGCAATACATGCTACCGTGTTTCCCCGAAAATACAACCTGTCCTGAAACTAAAGCCTTGCCACATTTTTCGCGTGGGCAAAAATATAAGCCCACCCCCGAAAATAAACCTCCTGGATAACCCCCCCCCCTCCAGCCAGGCAGAGCACTGCTCACTGACATAGTGGTACCCTGAAGGCGCCAAGCTGCAGGAGCTGGGGGGGGAAGGCGCTCACATTTCTTGGCGCCTTCGGGATACCACTAAGTTAGGTAGTGGTGTTTTGCCTGGCTGGAGGGGGGAGTTGTCGGGCGGCTGCTCCCTTGCGAACTGGCTCTCGAAGAACTGGGCACAGCCTCAGGGCCAAAGCAGCCATGAGGTGACCATGCTCATGAGCAACCGCCCGGCAAACCCCCTCTCCAGCAGGGCAGAGCACCATTTACTGACCTAGGGGGTATCCCTAAGATGCCAAACCACATTTCAATTTCAATTTAATAAAATTTGTATGCCGCCCACTCCCTTGGGACTCTGGGCAGCTTACAGACAGATAAAAAAGCATTTA